ATCAACAGGTGGTAAAAATATATATAAAGTATATAGGTAAAGTAGGGTATTAATCATATATTTTAAATTCAACAGATTAGAAGTAGAAAATATTACAATATAGGAAATTTCAAAAGAAGTAGTATAGAATTAATGACATAAAAATTATTTTAAAAGGGTAATTTATTGGATTTATTGGATAAGAATTATTTAAAAAGGGTATTTTATTGGGTTTTATTAGGTGTAGACAACTATTTAATCTACGCTTATGTGCATTTAACAAAAGTATGTTTTATTCTTAGAGATATATGTTGTTTATTTTTAATGGCCAGGAAATAAATAAAAGTATTGTTTCTGTAATAAAACATACTAGCTTTGATTGTTGATTCGTTTCGAAAACAAAAATGGGGAGAAATACAAATTTATAAAATCTTAGTGGGATTAATTTTGAAATTTGATATAAAATAAGAACTGCATAAATTTGTAAGTCTCAGAGAATTAGAAAATGCTACCTACTCAAAAAAAATATATTCAATATTCATAGTAAATATAAATAATTGCGAGATAGAGATTTAAAAATAAATAACGTTTTCTAGTTCATTAATAAAAAATAATTTTGGTATATTATAAAACATATTTGTTTTCGTAACTGTAAATCTGCTTTTGGGGTAATTAAGGAAATTTGTATAAAAGATTTGTTTTTTTGCTGGAAAACCTGAAATGTAAATAATAATTTTGTCATAGGGGTAATCAAAAGACGTTGCCACTGCACAAGAAGAAGAAAAAGAAAAAAGAAGAAGGAACTACCTTTGCCAGAGTCACCATCAGCACCGTTTCCAGGACGATCACGAAGTCTAAATCGTGATAGTTATTAAAATCCAGGACCGTACCAAGGGACCCCAGAGTTCCACGATTCCACGATCCACGGCAGAGAATTGGCCGAATTCCAGGACTCCAGAATCCAAGGCTACAAAGAGACTGTTCCATCCAAATCCGCCAACCAGGACCACCAAGCTCTCAGAGGGCATGAGTTATACCGCCAAGGGAGCTTGACATGATGTTGGATCCATTTTGAGTCTGTGGGAGCCAAATCCACAGCAAGAAGAAAATGGAGTCAAATGCGGAAAAAAGGGACCAAAGAATTCATATGGAATGGACTTAAGGTTCAATGAAAGAGGCCATTCCCAGTAATGAGTCAATAGGGACCTACCAGTAGCAGCCGTGTACAGCAGCCATGTACCGTAGCAGTCTCACAGTAGCAAGCCAGGGAAGCAGTCCAAAGTCAGAGTCTATTGGAAAATTGATAGACTACCGCAGCAGAAAGAACCTGTAACCTCAGCCAAAAGGGTTACCAGGTTTAGCAGCCCAAGGACCAAACCAGATCGGGAAGGGACCATTCCAGGAAGGTCAAGGATCAGGGGATGTGAGAGGTGACAGCCAGAGAGCAAAGGGTAGTTACGGCCAGTCAATTAAGAAGACCAAAGAAGACACAACTTGTGCAGTGAAGCAAGCGTGAGGTTATCATATTATTGTAGAGTGTTTTAAAAATTTTTGTAAATTATTTACATTAAGGGTTTTAAAAAGAATTGAACAAGTAGTCCAATTTTTTTTCTGTCGGGGGAATAATGTAATAATTGGCATTATTATTAATTGAAAAATCTAAAGAATTTACCAAAAATTCTAAACAAGTATTTAATGTTTAAATTAAATAATTAAAAAGACACAATGAAACAAACCTTCAATTTATTAATCTACATTGAACGTGACATTGTTAAATACAATCAACAGTCACATAAATTTTGGTTTATATAGAAAGGATCACTTGGGTAAACGCTCAGTCGGGTTCGGACTAAGGTCCAGAACTTTCGCCCCTCGGGCGAAACCCTGGTTTTTTATTGTAAAGTAATGTGTAAAGTTTTTTGTGTACGATGTGAATTATGGGTAAATATTTTAACTTAATTTTGTTTAATAATAATTGATTAATTGATTTACATATAAATGCCAATTTTACATTTTCGTCCCGAATTATATTTTATGCTTATCTTAATTACTATCAGTTATAGTGCATTATTCTCTAAATGGAATTTTATTCATTTTTTCTGAAGACTATTTGTCAAGTTTTTTATTTATTGTTAATATACATTTGTTAATGTTTTAATACTTATTATTAATCTCTCCTCCTTTCCCAAACCAGCAAAATACTCCGAGCATTTGAGAAGCCTCGGCGTTTCTATTCCCTTAGGACTAAAAGAGTCTAAAACTAGTTGCCAAGAACCGCTCGACATATGCTATTAAGGGATGTTTTTTTTTGTAATTTTATTATTTTCTTTTATTATTTTATTTTGCCACTGGCGAATGGATGTTCCTTAAGGACTCCAGGACCCTTTGGCTGGTGACAGGCGCTGCCTTTATCCCTTAATAGTATAGTAACAGTAGCTAAAGACCTATCAGTAGTTGCAAATGGTCCTTTAGGATTAACTGGTTGTTACACAACTCTAGTCGGACGGAAGACTGCACGGTGACGTCACTATTCAATGCAGAAATTGCGGCTTGCGCTCCAATATCAATATCGAATAGGGATTTCACGGTGTAGTCTGTAGATTTGGCTTTCTCACGTACAAAGACTAACATGTGACGAACACACAAACAAGGACAACCCTGTTTTTTATAGGTTTTTCAGGGAAGACAATCACAATTAAAATCAGACAAAAACTCAATAATTTTCCATTATCGCTCTTGCTAACTCACGAAACTGGCATATAATATTGGTATAATAAGGAGATGCCAAGCAATAATCTTAATTCTAAAAATAGACCTCAATTACCAGGCCACAACATCGGCCAGCATAGGAGGTAACATTTCCTGTAGGAGACGTTAGGAAGTACTACTATATTGTATATTTATATTTTATTTATTATTTTATAATTATATGTATGTATTTGTAAGCTATTTATTGTAAAAAATATACTTAACGATGAATAAAGAATTTTTTTTGAAAGTTGGCTTGCCATGGTACCCGTTCTGGACGGGGAAATCACTGTGTAGTCCGGTGATTTGACTGTACATGCACGTAAACTACCACCCAACGAACACACTCACAAAGACAACCCTGTTTTTTCTGATTAGTTTTTCAGGGAACGCATGACAGAATTAAAATCAGACAAAAACTTCAACTCTTAATCAAATATTGTCTAGTTAGCCCCTCTTAGTTGACTTATTATGCTGACAACAGAAAGGAGATGTCATTTTAAACGAGAATTATCACAAATTGCAACGATACATAAAGCCGTGACATCGGGTATGGCCTCATAGGGGTTCAAAAGGAACACTTCGGCATTCTACTAAGCGCGAAGAAATCCTTTACATATATGTATTGTTAAAATTGTAAATATTTTAACTGTGTAAATAAATGTTTGAAACTAAAACTGATGATTATTAGAAGCGATAATTAAAAATACATCACTTACTTCTTATATATATTAAAACACAGTAGCAAACCATTTAAATAATTAATATAAAAGTCCATTATTTTATTTGTTTATAGTCCAAATCATTTCTTTCTATTTTTTTTCTATTACTTCTTTTTCTCATACCTTTCTTCGGTTAGGCCTCTACTGACAAGCATGTTTAGATCACCAACTAATTCTTCTTTTAGTTAAGGTCTGTTTCAGTAGTGACAAATATTTAAAATGACAGGGATACCATCACTGACCAGTGGTCAGCCTGGTTGTCCTTGAAGCTTCTGGTCATTCTGCTTTTGGATTAGCAACTTGTGGCATGTGTTATTATTTTCGTCCTCTATTTCGGATTTTTGCACTCAATAAAGCAAATCAATCATCTCTGTAAGGAAAGAAAATATATTCAGAAGTCTGAAAGTACATTTTGTGGATTATTAAATTTATTTCCTTACCTATTTACATTTTCTTAAAGGCTAACCAACACCACTTGGTAAATCATCTATGGTTTCTGTCATTTAAAATTGCCATTCTAAAATTCTGATGACATTGTACTTGTCCTATTTTATCACGGGATTTCTTGATAAGGATTCGCTTGTAGTCGGAAATACCTACAATTTTCTTAAGACAATCTTGCAGATTTTTAATGTCGTAAAGATTCTAGTCAATGCCAAGTTCTTTCACTGTTTCAAACTCAGAATATTTTTCAAAGTATTCGTCCTTGCTTAATATTGTTGGGTTTTTTCTTAAACATTTTTCCACGCGGCCAAAATCCTATCTGCCGGAAGGAGCCAAAAATAAAGAACATGTACAATATGCGAGTTTTTGTTCTGGCCCCCACAACCATCACAAAATAGTCTTAATACTTCAATGTCTTCGAGTTCCAGTGAATCCAAATCCAAATAATTTAATAGAGCTGAACCTATCTGAACTGACCCACGACCAGCTTATATCTCAAGTCCAGGTGTAATAGGTAGGGGTCTTGAGTTCATGTCGACGCAACAAAATATGTAGAGACTCACTTGGTGAGAGTAAAAGGCATCTGAAATGGGGGTGCGAGGCAATGGCTGCACCTGCTGCATATCAAAGCTTATTGAATTTGGAGGATCTTCTTTTGCAAGTTTGTAGAAAGCGTCTGTCCTCTTTCTGTGTATTCGACGTTCGATCATCAGGTCAGATTTTTTTTTGGGATCTTTTTCTTTTCCTATATTGTCCTTAAGACGTATGCATAGAACACAACAGTCTGCTGCAGGTGATGAAAAACCTATATTAATTTCTTCACAAAAAATTCTATAAAATATGGATAAACTTGATTTATATTGTGCAGGTTGCTGTGAGTTAAAATGCAATTTGGTATACTCAAATTAGCTTGCAAGTATATTCTCACAGACTTCTTCTTGTTGTATTGGCTTTCGGTACCCCTTAAATTTCCAATAAACTCTCTTATTTTTTTCATCTTTTGTTTTTCTGGAAACATGATCGCCCCTACGAGTTTCCTTTGGCACTCCTCCATCGTGAATAACTTTTGCAACGGTATTGACTCGATTTTTTGATACTCCCAAACTTTTAGTAAAAAAAGCTTGATATACTCATGGATTTCTTTTGAGTTCTTGATTGAAGATAATAAGTAATATTAAGGGGGTGTTTTGTTGGACTTACTTTGTTGGAGCGTTTCCTTACTTTTTCATAAACACCTAGCATGTGACATAACTTAATATCCTGCGTAAGTTTATCAGGAGCAGTGTAAAGCTTTCGTCGAATAAGTCTAATATCACCCAAGGCAACAGTACTACACTTATAACTAGCAGTGTTATGATTGCATGGTCTCGTAAAACTTAATAGTCCAGGATCTATTACAACATATTTTTGTTGCTTGTTTAATCTTCGTTTCTCGGGAGTTTTGGGCCTTTTAACGCGGCTGCCAGTATTTCCTAAAAAAGGCGTACTTGTAAAAATAAAATTAGCAATTTATTAGAAATTTAATTACCTTTTTGAACAGATATATCAATGACTCTGTCGTGTTCGTCCATCCTCTATCACTAATAAACAAAAATATTGTCGATATTAACGAAGAAATTTGTCAGAAAACTACTCGTACAGCGTATATTCGCGGAAGTGCACTGGTTTCCGTATCGCACAACGTTCACAACAATTACAATAACAGAACTAAACTAAATAATATTATTTTCCTATAACCGCCCGATATTCGTACGCGACCTTGGCGTAAAAAAAGCCGAAAAAACGCTATCGCAGACGGATTTATTCCTTTTTGTTCGAAACAGACCAATGCCATTTAATTTTCGGGATTTATCTGGTTTTGCTTGAATTGCTCGACTTTGATGTCGATTTTGAATAGGATTTAATAAGTTTTGGTTGAAACTGATTGCGCCATCGGATTTATCTCACCAAAAGAAATAGGAATCGATCATAAAATCATTTTTGCCCAGTGGATTTATCTGGTTTTGGCTGATCGCTCCTCATTTGTTACACGTGCCACTGAGACTAACAAGTCAGTTGAAATGCAGCAATCAGATATATATGTTGTTGCAAACTCATGTAGAAAAAAAATTCAAAAAAATTACACAACGATCTTTTATTACCTACCAGAAAACTTCTAACAATTTAGTTTATTTAATACAATTCCAAACGACAATCGATTGAAAATTCTAAGCGTAATAATAAATAATACCATTAAAATATTGGAAATAAAAAAAGTACATCTCCCAATTACATCAAAATTATGAATGGAAGGACTCTACTTGTCCAGCAGTTAAAGTAGGGACTTTAGAACTCATCAAAAATGACCACCAACCACCATGTAAATGGCCCTTGGGTAGAATTTCTAAACTATTTCATGGAAGGGATGGTATTTCCCAAGCGTGCGATATCAAGACCGCAGCAAGAGTCATAACCAGGTCTGTAAGACATTTATATCCACTTGGAAAGTGAAAGCAGTGACGTTTGTAATGCGCCCTATTCCAGTGAAAAGTAAAAAAATACCATATTCGTGATTCAAGCAATTCCTGTATTGAAGTAAACCCTAAAATGACACTTAAAATTATATTTAATTTCTTTCTGTCACATTTTGTATGTTCAGTTTATTTGTGGCGTTTCTCTTTTTTTAAGGTTCCCTTCAAAAGAGGGGAGTATATTTGATAAATATGTAAATTTGGCACCGAATGCATTCCTGTTACACGTGCCACTAACAAGTCAATTGAAATGCAGCAATCAGATATATCGCCTGATAAATTCTCAAGAGGCACAAGTGTACCTTCAAAACTGTGTTTTTGTAAATCCAAGAACTAGAGACACGTCCGATTTAAATGCCTATTTTGAAGTCCGATCAAATCAGTTGAAACGAGATCAAAAAACTTAACGCACTCTTGTCACTTTAGTATTGAGAGATAGTAAAATATTAGTTATAGATTGAGTGGAGCTATGCAGAACTTAAGCCTAAATGACTGCAGCGCTAACTCAGAAAATTAATTAATTAAGTATGGAAAAAATACAAGTACAAGTAAAAAAATTCTTTTAATATGTAAATTTATTAGAAAATTTGTAAAAGTACTAAATATAGATATTTTTATAAAACAGTTTTCCATATTTTCAAAAACATAAAATTTATTTTCATAATTTAAATTGTTTGCATTGATGTTCACAATATAAATTGTCATAGAAAAAATTTCAAGACTATTATCAAAAATTTTTATAATTATTCGCTTCACTTTTTCGCGCTTTGCGTATTTCCTCTTTGACGGTTGTTCTTTTCTCTTACCAGACTTAGAGGTTGGTGTCTTTTAGACCTGAAGGCAAATCCAATTTGATCTCCTGATTTTCATCAGCGTCTGTATCATGAGCTGACTGACTGATCACAAGGTTTCTGTTTAGTAAAAAGCTAAAAAAATAAAATTATTAGCTATATTTTTATGTGATTAAAGTAAATAAAAATTAAAAAAATATTAGAATGTTTAATTACTGTAGTTACTAATTTATGATAAAAAACGTACTGGTAATATTGTCTTGCTGTGTCTGGAAAGGTAACGGCATTTGAGATAGTGATTAAATCATTCTTTTTCGCAAAAGAAATTGGCAGAATTGAAGAATAGAGTTGAGGCAACTCTTGAGCGATTTTAATAAATAAAAGTAGCATAGATGACATTAATATTTTAAAAAACTGTTTTCCCAACCTCTCAGAACCACTTTTAAATTTGATAAATTCGTCATTAGAAATTTCAAAAATACCTAATGCTCTAAAAATGGCTATGGTAGTGCCTGTTCCAAAGACAAAAAACGCAAATAAAGCTACAGATTTAAGGCCTATTAGTATGTTAAGTTGTACCGAAAAAATCATTGAGAAGGTCGTTTATGAACAAATTGTTAATTTTTTAGAACAAAATAAACTTATTACTAGAATACAATCAGGCTTCAGAAGCAAACATAACTGTGAATCAGCTATCCAGTGTGTTTTATATAATTGGAAATATAAATTTAAAAAAAGCTATCTAACATTGGCACTTTTTATAGATCTTCAAAGGGCATTCGAGACTGTTGATCAAAACGGTTTGATAAAAAAATTGAAAAGTATGGAAAAGTGTGTGTATTATCTAAGTAAGAGGAAACAAAAGTTAAAAGTAAATAACATTTTGTTAGAGGAAATTAACTATATCAGAGGTATTCCGCAGGGAAGTATATTGGGTCCCCTGTTGTTTTTAGTGTATATCAATGACTTTGTTGATTTCAAAAGTCAATGTGACATTCTCCTGTTTGCTGATGATGCCTTAATATATTTTTCTTATAAGGATTCAGATAACTTGGTAAGAGTTGTTAATGAAACACTGCAACATGTTTATAAATGGTGTTGCAATAATTTGTTGAAAATTAACACAAATAAAACAAAATGTATGCTGATAAGTAGCAACTATAACTAATCACAGTTTGTTGATAAACAATATAACATAACAATTGGAGGAAATTCTATACAGTTAGTAGAAAAATTCAAATACTTAGGGGTAACGATTGACAAGCAGATGAGATTCATAGATCATGCCAACACTTTTATCAAAACAATTGCATTTAAGTTAAATTTCCTATTTAGAAGTTCATTTGGCTTATCACAGTGGACTAAATGTATTATATATAATACCATAATTCTACCTCATTTTAATTATTGCTCTACAATACTGTTTTACTAAATCAAAATGAGTTAAACCGACTACAGAAGCTGCAGAATAGGGCTATGCGAATAATTTTATCCTGTTCAAAATATACTTCCATTAATATAATGCTTGAAACTTTGAGGTGGATACCAATCAAAAGTCACTTATTACGGAATGCGTTAATTTTTATTTATAAAATCAAACACGGGTTACTTCCAATGTACTTAAAAGAGAAGCTTAGCTTAATTATTACTCTAATGTGTACAATTATCCAACGCGGAATAGAAATAACTTTTATATTGAAACAGTTGTTTAAGAGTGCAACACAAAATTCACTATTTTTTAAAGGTCTAAATCAATATAACGCACTTCCAGAGAAAATTAAATCAGTAACGTCTGTAACTACATTTAAAGTCAAAGTGACAGATTTGTTAATTAATGAATATTTCTCCAGAAACAGTAACAACTTATAGAATTTTAGTTAGTTTTAATTGTATCTAAATTATCTATGTTTTGACTTATATGTATACGTATATTTTTACTAAATTTGTATATTGTGATATTAGCAAACTAGCTAAATAAAGGAAATAATAATATCGGTTGCCATTTTCCCCAGTTTGACAATGGTATATGTATCATAATTTAATTTTTAATTGATTCTCTGAACCTTTTTCAAAGCGACATGAAACAATCTTGTTCCATTTGACCTAAAAAGAAATATAAATGAGGATTAATATAATTGAGTTTTTATTTTTTTTAGACACATACTTATTAAACATAATTACGTAAGCTGACACAAATTTATACATTTTATTTACCTACCTTATTACCATCAACAGTCTTTGAATTGAGTTTTTTGTCGAACAGCTTTAAAAGCAATAAAGAATTTTTGATTCATAGTTGGGATCCTGTTCAAGAAAAAAGTGTTTTGTAAATAAGCTACATTTTGAAAACCATAAATCATTAAAAAAATTGAAAATTAATTTTAAATAATAGGAAAATTCTCAGGTAGGAACGTCCTACCTACTATGTAAATTACCATGAAGTTTAAGAAAAAAAATAGCCGTATGCATAGTCGACCGCCAGCGATTCGCTGGCGATCCGCCGGCGAAAGCCCAAAAAGCTGGCGACTCGCCGGAGATTGTCACCGGAATGTCATTTTACGCAAGTTTTCATGTTCTTTTATAGGGAAAAATTTGATATTCGTTCATTATTTTTTGAGTTTTAAGAAATGAATCATGAATAAAATGCGAGAGATACCGGTGATAATCCCTATAAAAGAAAATAAAAATTGCGTGAAATGACATTCCGGTGACAATCTCCGGCGAGTCGCCATCTTCTTGGACTTTCGCCGGCGGATCGTCAGCGAATCGCTGGCGATACGCCGAAATGAATCTCTGGCGAGTCGCTGGCGATCGACTATGAATACGGCTGTTGGTCTTTTCAAAATTAATTTTTATCTTGCTAAAAGCGTCTTGTTGGTTAGCAAGTTGAACAAACAAGGCTTTTTCGTCGGTTTCCATTTTATTGTATATTATAATGTAAACAATATTCAAATTTTAGATCAATCTTTTGACTCACTAAACCCAAAACAAACTGATTTTAAACAGCCTTTAACTGTGATATAAGAGAGTTTTAGCAAATGTACGTAAGATTTCCGCTAACGTTACGTTAAACTTAGATTGTGACCTTTTTCATAAACATTGAACGGAGTAGATTACAGTCTATCCCTAAGGTAACGTTAGCGGATGGTTAGCGGCTGTTTGCTAAAACTCCCTAATTTAGAAGAGAAAATTAAAGTATTGACACTTGCTTCCCTTAGGTCAGCACAATTACTACCGATTCGTTCAAAACGGCAAATATGCAGGTCGGGT